GTCCCAAAAGTTGCTGTCCCCTGCAGTTCCCCAGATAGCCATAGTCTTGCAGTTAGACTATCTATCTTCTTCCCCTTTCCTATGGGTGTAAACTGCTTCAAGCTTATCGCTGAATTTCACACACCCTGTTTTTCCCAGGTTGTGGGCCTTCTTGCAACCGTTTCAGCATGTCGCCCTCCCCCCCTTTCCTTACCAGCTGTCTCAGCGACTTATGTCTTCCCTCGGTATGGTCTCATATCCACATATGAGCCTGTATTGGGGTTACCCCCGCTTTGCTGACCCTTCAAAATGAACTGGAGAAAAAGTTCCGTGCTTATGCTCCAGAAACACAGAATAATTCATCAGATTAATCGTCTGCATTATTAATGCAAGTGACTAGTATTTAACCTGAGTGTGTTGTATCAGAAATGCATAATTACCTGTGAGTCAGTTTACTGAACTCAGGAAATCTTATTTCTAAACCAAAACACATAGAATTTCACTGTTAAGAAGTAAACTCATGCATACTATACAATGTTACTGTTGTAGCCCTTCGTGTAGCCAATAGGTGTCAGCATGTATAATAAAGACAGTAGGCTTCCTGAGAAGCTAGTGAGCCTAGGAATTATAGTTTGAATCAGAGTTTAACTTTGCAAACATGTATTTGTTAAGTGTTAAAACTCCTGTTAGAGCCTGTATACTTGGGAAAAGCTGCATCTCTCTGGTGGGGAAAATGACATTGATTCAAACATTTCCAGTGTTTTATATTGATCTTTATTTTGCTGTTTTGAATTACTAACCTGGATTGATATGCAATATGGTGCTTTGGCTTACATTATACATTTAAAAATAAAACAGCAAGCACATTTTAAAAGTAGACACCCAATTATTTCTATGCCTCTTGCCCCACTCAATTTTTAAACAATTATTGTATTATCCTGTATTTATTGTATTTTAAAATTAAAATATATTTTTAAATGGTTTACTGCAAAGCAGCAACAGCAACAAAAGTTGCCTCCAGCATCATATTTCCTTTTGGACCTCAAAAGGTTCTGCTAAAGAGAGTATCCTGGACATTAGTTTACCTCCTGATAAATGGGTGCTTTCTGAATGGATATGGCCACATGGAAGACATTTTGTGCATAGTTATCTCCAAAGGCAGCCATTTTGTAAGCATACCCACCGTAAACATTCAACATTGTTTTAAATCTTTTTGTATCTCAAAAAAATTGCTTACCTCCAGTTTAGGAATTATGCAAGCTCAGTCTAGTTAGTTTACCATGTGAGTCTCATAGGAGTAGAACCTGGTTGACCCCCTCCATGGCTCAAAACCTAAGTAGGGCCAGGGCTAGTTAGTATTTGGGTAGGAAGAAGTTGAAAAAAACCCAGAAGAATGTAATGACAAACAAGTTTTGTATTGTTGCCAAGAAAACTGCATGGATATATTAATGAAGCTGCCAGGAGTTGAGCTTCATTGAAAGAGATGTTATCTTATTCCATCAGATGGGTGCTGGACCTTGAGTCATGGGCTTCTGGTTGGACTCCAAGTGCTTCTGCAGCCCTGTGTGTGATTTTGGTGTGTAGTATTGGAATGACATTACTCAGTATTCTGGCTATAGCCTCTTGAATAAAGTGTCATTTAAGAGTGCGAGAATTACTGTAATCCACTATCCCTAAGCCTTGTTTAAGAGTTGAGTACTAAATCTCTCAGTAGGCCAGATGAAATCAAGAAGTGGGGAAGCTTTTAGTAGTATTTATAGTATAAATACTCAAACTAGCATTCCCCCTTCTCCTGAGATCTCATTTATCCTGATCTTGATCCCAATTCTGTCAGAAAGATGGGGAGTACGGGACAACTCTATTCCAATTTTGACTAGATTCAATGTGGTTGCTTTTTAAGTTGAAATTGTATTAAAATAAAAAATGCAGTAACTCCATTACATAAAATTTATCACACAAATACAAAAAAAAAAAAAAAGCAGAAAACAAGGAAATCTGGTAGTATAAACTGAAAATAATAGGTGTTATTTTAGAAAATATTTTTCCAAAATAATAGATTGTGGGGAGTACCTCCTTGTGGAGTCCTTGGGGTTCTCTGAGCTTGGTTCTTTTCTTGCAAACGTTTCATTACCCA